AGCGGCAAAACTTTCGAAGATATTAATCCAGCAACTTTCGAAAAGATAGCTGATGTACAAGTAAGCATGGCGGATTTTGCTCCATTGAACTGCTCAGTTTCTTGAAATTGGCTGAAAATAAATCACTTCAAAAAGTATTATAAAAATGTTTAGATGTTTCCTATAAATCTAGGTCCGCTAATAAAAGAATTAAATAAAGGTTTTCCTGTAATAGTCTAAGCTTCATGGTCTGTGCGGGCTGACTACCGACTAATATTTTGCTGACCACAATTCGTCACTTAATATTTAATTAGTTTTTTTAAATATGCCTAGTGACTTATTAGAGAGAAATTGTTTCATTAACAGAAAGTTACTCCTGCAGTTCTCAAATAGTTGTAGGAAAGGTTTACGTCTATTGCAGATGGTTAGTCTGTCAGTTTCAGTGACCGCATATCCTGTCGAGTCACAGAGACAAGTGCGTCAGACACTGCCTGCAACAATCCTGATCGTGTGCCAGCGTTTGAGCTTTGGCAGAAGATGACCCAAGTCTAAAGCAGGGTCTTTCGATTCACTTGTCTCGAGTTATTCTTTGCCGACCCCGGTATCTTCTCCGGTCGGTTGAGCAAATAGTCGCTGTTTAATCTTTTTTTCTGAAAGCAATCGCAAGATGTGCCCAAACCATCGCAAAGGTGGCTTTTCAATCTGGAGAAGCAAATCTGGGCGTCGCTGCTTTTTGGGATTTCTAAACTCCGGACTCTGTTTATACGTGTGATCCAAGTGATTCGTATCAGAAAGCATATTTCAGCCGCTTGTACCTGAGATCAGAGTTTATTAGTCGAGGCCCACAACTCATGACCTGGGTGAGCATTTGGAAGAAAAGACAGAGTTTCTTTCCTCAGAGTACGGTATTTCCTTTACCTTGATAGAAATGCACCCGAATTTGTCCTTCAGGACTCTCAGATGGTCCATCTTAACATCTCTCTGGACGTATGGTCTGCCGTAATACCTGGTTTGCCGTTTGGAGATTCGACTTTGGCACCTTTCCGAATTCTTCCAAGAAATCAACCCTCGTTTTAGCCACTGAATTAGTTGCCGCCTTCATATTACATTCGAGTTTATATACCTTTGTTTTCATGCCAACTTTTGAGGAATCTTTCTTCTCGCTTACACTCATTAGAACCTCTTCCTCAGTCCGCCAGAAAGTTTTTTTCTGCTCCCCCCATCACCCTTTAGGCGAACCCTGTTTTAAACCGCTGCATTTGGCGACATCCCCGAGTAAGCCACTTTTAATGCGCTCCATTATATTTTATTTCACTGTTTGTGATTGAAAATTGGCACATGCATGCCTGCGATGCCAACCCATTTGCCGACACTGATCTTTCCTTTTTGCTCTATTAAACATTGAATCCAGATTTAAAACGCTGACCTTTTCTCCGCGAATTTTGTCTCGTTACTCAGCGTTGTATTTTACTGCAATTGACCTACATTGCATAAGTTCCCATAAGGGGCTCTTTAATAGTCGACCTCATAACAACGGTTCTTAACTGATCAGTTTTATACTTATTATTCATGCTTTCACCTGTACCTGAGCTTAAGAATTGTTCATGATCTATATGTTACGTGGTTATAATTTAGAATTGCGTCAGTTTCGAGCTTTTTTTTGTTGAGGAAAAAACCTATATGTTT